TACTACTGTATATAAAATGAAAGAGGGGGTTAATCTGGGGGGGTTAAACTAGCCTAGGCCAGTTTATACCCTGGGTATAATCTGGCCTAGGCTACTTTATACCCAGGTATATTCTGGCAGGGGGTTAAACTGGCCTGCTACACCTGTTTCCCCTACCACTAAAAACATGCACACTTGGTAAAATCCTCTAGCTCTGGTATTCCTGACCAAACAGAGCATCAGCATCTGGAGACGGGTTCCCGGGCGCTGTACTACGACGGCCACTGCTCCTGACGTGAGCCCTAGCAACATCAGGATGGGTCAAATGCAGAGGATGAATTGCCCTACGGAGATAAATAAAGTGCACCTTTACCTGCACCTTAATAATATCAATTTGTGAATTCAAAATCAATCGAAATGAATGCAAATTAATGGAATTGATTCGGGAAAAAATTTGGACATTATTATTTTCAAAATTGCATCAAAAAAATAATAATTCCAAAATTCAATGGCTATGCACCCTTACTACATACCAGAAGTTACATGTGGACATCCACTCTCTCAACTCCTCCTCGTACACATTTTCAGTCCCAAGAGACACCTCAAGGTGTTAAAGAAATCATCACACATTTGTTCTCCATCGGCCCAAATCCAAGCAGAGTTCTGATTTCATCTCCGGATCAAACCGGTATCTCATCAAATCCAAGAAAGTGTGGCTAATGCAATTTCACTAAGTCACTGCTTCACTTGATTACACGTGTGTTAGGGGAGTGCATGCTAACGCGATATGGGAGGCCAGCGAGGGCGTCACTGTGATGTGTGGGAACATATGGTGCGTATGTTCATAGTTCAGTCTTTTTGTTCTCTAGTCTGCCTTTGGACACACTAAATGCAAAACTAGACCAGTAACAGTTTACCACAGGTGGTTGGTTTTGCGGGATTGTGATGGTGTAGTTCATTATCACAGTACATTTCTTACAATTATTTGAATGGTTAGAAGCCACTTCCTGCATGTGTACATTGATGGACCTTTTTGTATATCCAAAAAAAAACAGCAGTTAACTTGGGGCTTGGGTAAAAGCGCAAGATTCAAAAAGTTCATCATGTGTCAGTGGCTAGGTTCACGCCTTAGCCATTCTAGGGAGTCATACTTGAATATAAATCACAGGTTCATGTTGTAACTTTCCAACAGCTCAGAGACAGCTGATAGAGTAAAGGAGGGCTTTGCAAGGTAGGATTTGGACATAGAGCACTGTTCAACAACAGCCATAGAGATCTTTATTACCACATTAAGCACCATTAGCAACAATAACATGTTTTGGTAATTAACCAATATACTCTGGCAAACATTAGATAAAATTTGCATGCTCACCCTTGCTGTTGGCTTCCATACATATAAAAAAAAAAATGATGGGAAGTTTTGATGTGTGCGATGTGCGATGCTGTGCACAGGAGGCGTCCAAAAGGCACTGTAAGACGCTGTGACAGTAACACGATAGAATTGACTGGCAGATTGCTCTGTTTCGGTCAAGTAACTATAGAATCCGTTATTCACATCCAGTCCATAAACGTTTTTTAACCAGGTAAGTATATGAATCTGGGGTATCCCATCCCATTAATCAAGGATGAGAGAAACCATTTTGGTTCATTGAAAGATAAATTGGAAAAAATGTTTGAATCTTTTTGTGATCAAAACCTGTGATTCCCAACTAGGGGAATTGACTATGAGAGGTATTACAGAGGGTATCGATACATCATTTTAGAGCTTGTCTTTAAAGAAACCAAACATCATGAATTTAACAACATTGAACACACAATACAATAAAACTTAGTCTAAGTCTTCTATAACAAGACTTTCTTTTGCTCTAGTTTGGGAACAGTGAAAACATGAACTCATTAAGTTAAACTACAACAACCAAAAAAAAGATGAGGCCCCAAACCAGCCCTTAGGTTTTAAGTTAAGTTGCCCTCAATCAATATGAGTTGGACTCCCATAGGGTACATCTTCACCTAACACATTTTCTATGATTATACTTTAATTTCAAATTTCTCACTTTTGCCCATTCTTTTGTCTTGAACATATACTCTTCATACATTCAAACAGACACTGAATATTGTTTATCAGAAATATCAAATTAGATATTTGGCCAAAATCGTTCAGTGCTACTGCAACACAACAAACTGCAATATCTGAAGAATTCATTTATAAAAATAAAAAAAAGAACAGGTATCTTGTCATAAAGTTAAATTCCTCTCGGCCAAATCTTCAACGCTCAGATGGGGTGAAAGTTTATAATGCCACTAGAATAGAACTGGCTTTTTACAAAACCACTTGGTAAACACTTGTCTTATCCATTTTTGCAAATGAATAATTAATTTATATTTTCATCATTAGGGCAAAATATCTACAGTATTACTAAATTACTAAACTAAAGGGTTATGGAAACAAGATATGAAAACATGCCTTGAAAAGGTCTCAATTTGAAGTAACATGTATTTCATAAGCTGCACTTGTTATTAAACACAATCATGCAAAGTGTTTAAAATTAACAATCCAAACTTTCTAGTTGTGCCTTCAGAACTCAAATCTTAATACAGAGCTCACGGCAATAAGTTGATGGACCCAAAGTAGTTTGGGTCTGGGAAAATTGAAGTTTTTTAGAATGTATAGAGAGAATACCAGGAGACACACATGACTAAGCTTTAAGTGTCGTAATCCCATTGCCACGAGAACTCATCAAGCCAATCTCCTACGCTGTTCCTCTGACTCCAACTCTACTCAGAGTTTAATTTAAAAAGTGTAAAATCCCCCTCCTCGCCGTCTCAGTACATATTTTTCTAATTTCTTCTTCAAGAAATTTCTTAATGGATTCGTCGCTAGACCCTGATGAAAACAATGACTTCCTAACCTCCCTTTCTGTGTCTCCTCTCGTCGTCCGTCTCCTCGCTCCCTTGATCACAGCAGACTTAGTTATTTCGCTTTCTAAATGATTTTTTACTCCTTCAATCTTTCAACCGCCATTCAAGGGGCCTTGGCCAGGGCTGGGGCGGCCGCTGAGACGCATTGTGACAGGTGAAATGAAAGCCAAGAGAAATCTCATCTTTGTATAAATGCCGAGAGGCATTCAGACAGTCAAATCATATTTTTTCTCTTCTTTTGAGTCACTGACAGATGGGAAAAAAGGGAAGAAATTGTGCTGTTATTTAAAGATCGTTTCTCGCAATCCCAACTTAATCATTGCTTTCTTGCCAAGGGAATTTAAGTTTGTGTATGCACCGAAGTGAGTTAAAACAGAACGTAAAGACAGATATAGATGATTTTGAGAATGTGTTTTTAAAAATTTCACAAGGCACCAATCGTGTTTTATTACAGCCCAGAAAACATTCTTGTTTATAATTATAATTTTAATTAAAGTAACATAGGGGGGATTTGGTGAAAACGTTACAGCCATAAACAAAAATACATTAATTAATTCACAGTGATCACTCTTTATAGCACTTTGTTTCTTGAATGTATCGGCAGTTCTTTTTGTAGATCATTCAGCAGATGAGATATTAAATAAAACATCAGCTTGTCAGTGCTCGCGGCAGTGCTGATTGAAACCTGAAGGTCACAGGCCTGAGACGTTGACAGCAGCCGAAGACACAGCCAACACTCTCCGGGGGCTGATGTGACTTGAACCTCTCAAGGCCTCTCTCTGGAGGCAGTCTTTGCAAAGTCACCTTGCTCTAAAAAAAACTTGTCTTTTTCCCCCTTTTTTCATTACAATTTTCCCCTCTTCACACCTTGGTAACCTCTTGACCGACTGTGTTCCCCATCAGCCTAAACTCTGCAGCCCTATCTATCTATCTTACTGTCATGTCCATTTTGGTCAAGAGTAGTCCCCAAATCAGGGCCTTCCTTGCATAGTAGGCAAGGCAAGTTTATTTGTGTAGCACAATTCATACACAAGGCAACTCAAAGTGGTCAATAGTAATGGGGATTTGACAAATATTAAGTGAAAAACACAATAGTAACATAATTGAAGTCACCCTTACAACAAGTTATGCAAAAAAACAGACATTGGGAGCTTTGAAACATGGTATAACCCTTCTTCTCTACCATTTATCCATTTAAAATTGATTTTTCCTTTGTTCAAGATGTCATGGTTTTGACTACTGCTTTCAGGAATTCATGCAGAAGCACACAATTCTTTAGATTTTGTTTCCATCTTATGTCAAATGCATTGGATTCTGAATTTCATCTCGAATTAAATCATACTGTGAGCAGCTACACTATCAGCACTTTGTTGTGAAAGTTAAAAGGACTAAAAATCTACTTAGAGTGGTCAAATTTAGCGGATGTAACTTGAGGTAAGAATGAAGTAGGCTTTAGAATGTGGTGCGAGCAGCTAAGTTCAGGTTAAAAGCACTTCAGATAGCTGTGCAAACAACTGAGCAATTTTATCTCAACTTTTAATGCATTGTGATTATTCATTATTTTAATGCCTTGTGTGATTGTTTTTATCTTATAGTTTAGCACTTTGAGTTGCCCTCTGTATGAATTGTCATAAACAAATAAACTTGCCTATATGCCTTCACATTTTGGATCTACTGGCAGAGGTAAATTTTTATTTCAAAGTACCGGTAGTTCATTATATTATAATACATTTTAGTCTGGTCCTAAACACGGCATATTGTCACGAAACACATGTCTCAAAACAAGGATCTGTGAAAATGGCTTAAATTGGTTTCACATTTTAAGTTGAATTACAGGAAATAATTAATTCTTGAACATTTTACTAATTTCACTATCTTAACCTGTACAAAAATAATAGAGAATACTATTAGACGTAAAATAACTTATTTGTCTTTGCATCAGTTGTGAATTATGGTCAAATCATCCATGACGTCCATGTTGCACATGCTCCTCTTTTGGATACTTGTGTAACCTTTCGGCCCGTCATGTCTGGTTCCTCCACAGTCATTGTCTCACTAGGCGATCACCACCCCTCCAGCTACTTGAGATTTCTGCTCCTCACCTTGTAACTCTCCGCTCTTGCTGTAGAGTTCTCTCCTCTGCTCTCTCAGGTAGGCACTCATGCTGATGGCATGGGAAGAGGATTCAAACCTGCAGAATACAAAATAATGAAAATTAGTAATCACAATTAGCACGTAGCCTTGACTGTAGAAAAAAAAACACCACATTATAACTCACTGTTGTCTAAAGTGGACAAAACAAAAATACAAAAGCTTTAATCAAAATTATTATTTTGATGTGTATTGAGAATTTGAAAGCAAAGTAATCCTCCACTGCTGGATCATCCATTGTGCTCTTGAATACACAAGCAAAAAGATATATAAAAATAAATAGGGGTGAGCTAAAAAAGTAAAGTAAATACATTAAGGATATTTTTATTGATATCTTGTAATGGTCAGAGTCACTATTTGACTTTTTGGGCTGAGAGCAGGTTATCGGAGCCAGTCTTAAAAAGGGGCTCAAAATGTTTTTGGTTTTTTTAAGGGGGGGCCTGGCAAAAGATAATTGAGAAGCACTTCTCTATTGAAAAAGTCGACACCAGAGAAGCTTGCTTGCCCATTATTTGAAAGAATTATTGTTATTTCTAAATTACTTACAAATAGTACACCCCCCTACTTTACGTTCTTACTTGAACAGTGATTGTTTGGCCCGCTGTGGTTTCTTCTTGGCGAAGAATGCTGCAAACTCACTACCGGTGCTGGCGTAGGAGAGCTGGGCTGAGGGCTCCGAGCTGCTGCGGGTGTTCTTCACATCCAGGTACTCCATTAGCAACACCTGCGTGACATTTCATTGTGAGATGAAAACCTTTGGACTGCAAGTAACATCTTAAGCCTAGCGTACATCGGACTGGCAACTGATTATATCCGTCGCATATGAGTGGCTGCCCCTCACACATCGACAATCTGACGAAAACGGGCAACTCCCAGTGGCAGACCAGTCTCGGGAATAACAGCGCGTATATCGACAGCAACTGGCCTCAACTACAGTGTGTTTTCTGACATAAACTGTTGCGGGCTCGCAATACAGGCAATACACACACATTGTCGGAGCGGCGCATGGAGCGCGCACATCGGGTCATATCTCCGAAACTGAGGACAACTAGTTGCCGAAAAGTAGAACACGGGCAACTGACTGAAACTGGAGACCGACTGTTCATCTCCAGTTGTAAGAGCGCGCACATCGACCGATTTCGGCAACTGATCATCTTCCACCATCTCCTCTCAGTTGCCAAAAGCCGCCTTGCAACTAGTTGTCCCCAGTTTCTCTGTCGATGTACGCTAGGCTATACAGCTGAATGGAAAGCATAGCCAAAAGGATTTCACACTGCTAGGGAGCATACACCTTCAGTTTTACTACTGATAATATAATTAACACTGATTATATAACTACAAGATATTCTGATGTACAGTTTAGTGGGTGTAATTTTGTTGTACTTTGTGTCAATTAAATCTATTTTATAGGCCTAAATCACAACCGCAGAAGAAGACTTTACAAAGTTGTTGATTTGCCAACAACAGATCTAACCGTTTGAACACAGCAAATGCAATAATAAACATATCCTAGCCATTGGTCCATAGGGTAGAGGGAGGACCAATGTCCATAAATGTCCCTAAATCTCACTATCCTTAGACTCTAAGTTGGCAAGGGACACAGGAAACAGTAAGAAAAAATTTGAGAAACCTCTGGGATGCCTATATTTACTGAAAGATGTGCACCCATAGACGGACATGAAATAGATCCAGGACACTGTCTGTTGAATTAGGACTGAGTTGTGCAAGTAACACAAGTCTGCTGGGAATAATAGAGAGTAAGTAATCTTTATTCATATAGCGCATTTTTAGAGACAAAGGTCACCCAAAGCGCTTTACAATATTCAGAGTTCAAATGAAGTTCCATTCTCTCCACATGGTGATGACAGAAGAGAGACGCCGAACACACTGCCCCAGCAAAGGCCCCTATCAACACCATCCATTCACTTACTCATTACATTCAGACCTATTGAACATGATTTTAGTGGTAGGGGAAACCGGACCACCTGGAGTAAACCTACGCAGATATCGGGAGAACATACAAACTCCACTCAGCATTTACCTCTAAGCCTCACTAAACTATCTAACATACAGTTAAATAAAAAAAACACAAGACAAAGCATAAAAACTCATTCATTATCTAAGTTAGGAATTTAGACACAGGGGAACTTCAAGCATCAGTAAGACACAATATTATGAACTTGTAATTCATTCAGAAAATATGTCAATATGTTGAACAGTGGTGAAGTAGAATGTAATTGTCAACATAAAATTATGTATGATACTCGTCTATTGGATTATCTCTGATAATCTTACAATAGTAAGAGGGACCCAAAAATCTCTGGTGCTGGTCCCGGCGGCAACCCCCGAACCCGGTGGTGAACACTGTTAGTAAGGGATGAAGAAGGAATCCTATAGAGCCATGATGGTCCGTGGGACTCCTGAGGCAGCTGTCCTGTACCGACAGGCCACGCTTGCTGCAGCCCTGGCTAAGGCAGAGGCTAACCCCCGGGACTGGGAGGAGTTTGGAGAGTCCATGGAATATGACTATTGGTCGGCCTCAAAGAGATTCTGACAAACCGTCCAGCGCCTCAGGAGGGGGAAGCAGTTCTTTGCCGACAGCAGGTGGAGAGCTGCTGACTTCGACTGGGGATATTGTCGGGCAGTGGACAGACTTTGAGGTTCTCCTCAATCCCCCCCGTCATATCCTCCGTTCCGGAGGCAGAGGCTGAGGATGTTGGGGCGGATACTTCCATCTCCCTGGCTGAGGTCACCAAGGTGGTTGGCAGCCTCCAGTTTAGTTGGCAGTGGGTGAGATCTAACCTTGCCTGCAAGCTGAATTCTCGCCGTATTTGTGAATTCACAAACACTCGAGAATACATCTTGTCCCGCTCCCGCCAACCCTTTTCGAGTAGAACATCTAGGTGTTCAAGCCAATCACGCGCCAGTCCGGGGTTTTAGGGCGGGATATCCGACGAAAGCAAGAAGTGCCGGGCCGAAGCAAAACAAACATGGCTACGCAGGAGGACGGACGCGTAGCTGAGGCTATCAAGTCAGTTTTGAACAGCGAGAGGCGCTTTGTGCATTTCTGGACGGCAGTCTTGGTAGGCGGGCACACAGAGTCACTTCGCCCAATCAGCTTGAAGTATTCTGCTGCTTATCCCTCCTTTCCCCGAAAGGATTCTCCTGCAGAAGTCCCAGATTGATATTGTGGAGAACGCATTATGGCGCGTTCAGACCAAAAGCTTCAAAAAGCTTTTGACGCGCTTCAACTGACGCCGGGATAGTTTTGTCATTTTGGTGCTTGAAGCTTTTGACGCGAGTGACGCGCCTGACGCCGGTGGGAGGAGCTTCTCTGTTGTCTGTAGTCAGGACAGCGGTGGATTTTTCAATGAGCAGCGAGCATTTATTTGTTATATAAAGCAAAATAACGTTGTTGTAGGGCTTCAACAAAACATGTTCTGGGTTCACCACAGACTTGAGAGGCTGCAGTGTTTGCAGAGTTCCGTCATTTACTCCAGGAGCTGCGTACGGAGGAGTTTCGCTTTCAGCGGTACTTCCGCATGTCACTTGCCCAGTCTGAGTTCTCAAACCCCGGAGCTCGCCTCTCCCCGCCTCGCTCTCGCCTCTCCCTGCCTCTCCCCGGCTCTCCCTGCCTCTCCCCGGCTCTCACCCGCCCAGAGCTGCCTTGCTCTGAGCCAGACTCATCGTCAGCCTGTTCTTATATTAAATAAACTACGTTTACTACACAGCATGTGTACAATGGTTTTTGTTACTCAGAACGTTACTACTCATACAAATAATATTACTAATAACAATAATGACAATAAAACAACAGCAGCAGATACATGACTTCTCTTCATGACAGAGACAGACCCTCTGCTGCTGCTGCTCCTCGTCTCCTGATTGGTTGAAGCCCGCGTCAAAGCTTCAAAAGCTCAGCTTTGCTCAACTTCGGCGTCAAAGGGATTGTTTTGATACGCGAGCGTTTCGCGCGTCAAAAGCTTCAAGTGAGCGCGTAGTACGCGCGACTCTTGAAGCTTTTGACGCGCGTCAAGTGACGCCGGGGCTCTCGGCTTCACCTGACGCGCTTCACCATTCACTTTCAATGGAAACCTGACGCTTTTGACGCCGAAGTTAAGTCCGGTGTGAACGCCCCTTTAGAGTTCTACACAATCATCAATCTGGCTCTTGCCAGGTTAGGTGAGATCAGTATTGACTATCTAAAGTCTCTGGATGTCCGGTTCCCTATATGACTGAAGTCAGAGCTGCATTTGCATCGCCAGCAGTAAGTCAGTCCAGTTCCAGGTGCATGTTGGCCTCCGCCAAGGCTGCCCTTTGTCACCGGTTCTCCTCACTGTCTTTATAGACAGAATTTTTAGGTGCAGCCAGGGACCGGAGGGGGTCCGGTTCGGACACCACAGAATATCATCTCTGCTGTTTGCTGATGATGTTGTCCTGTTGGCTTCAACGAACCAGGACGTGCAGCATGCACTGGGACGGTTTGCAGCCGAGTGTGAAGCGGCTGGGATGAGAATCAGCACCTCCAAATCTGAGGCCAAGTGGGTGCAGTGGTCCATCCTCAAGTGGTGTCGGGGTCTTGTTCACGAGTGAGGGAAGAATGGAGCATGAGATTGATAGGTGGATCGGTGCAGCCGAACGGCAAAGCTCTTGATTTACCGGTCAATCTTCGTTCCCTCCCTCACCTATGGTCATGAGCTTTTGGCAAAAGAACGAGATCGCAAATACAAGCAGTCGAAATGAGTTTCCTCCAGCGTACAGCTCTGGCGTACAGCTCCGGCGTACAGCTCCGGCGTACAGCTCCGGCGTACAGCTCCGGCGTACAGCTCCGGCGTACAGCTCCGGCGTACAGCTCCGGCGTATCCAATAGTGGCCAGGAACTCTGCGTCACTTAAAGATAGGGTGAGGAGCTCAGTCGCTGGAGGGACAATGTCTCTCAGCTAACCTGCGAATGCCTTAGGGTCCCACCCACCGGATGAGCTGGGGGAAGTGTGTGGAAAGTCTGGGCAGATCTGCTTAGACTGCTGCCCCTACGACCCAGCAACGGATGAAGCGGAAGAAAATGATGGATGGATGTTTGGAGACCCACAGTAAGGGATCAAATCTCTGGTTACATTATGTTACATTATGTAACCAGAGTGCAAGTATGTGGTTATTGATAACCATATATGTATGTGTACTTTATTATCTTAAAGAAGTTCAGTCTGAATGCATTTCATTAATTCTTCACAAAGCAGTACGGATGGACCAAATATTAAAATAGCCTCAGGCACAAGATTTCAGTGTCCACTATATAAAAAGAACATTTCATAATAACTATGATCCATGGTGATATCCATCAATGTCTAATCACACTTCATAAAAATCTTATCAACTTCTAACAATAGCAGTTCAAGTACAAGGAGACGGCAGCCGGACAAAGTTAACTTGGCCTACACTCGATCATTCTCGCATCCATTGAATTCTATTATTCACGAACCGATGACATTGAATCTCCAATTTTTTACATTTCTATTTTGTCCCTCTTCACCAGCTTTTTCTGTCCCTCGCCTACATATGTTGGAAAATAGCTCCGGCGTATCTAATAGCTTCATCATTTAGCACAGACATTTAACGCATGGGCCCAAATCTGAGGCTTACTGCGCTCCGAGTCAGGATGGGGCTGGAGTAATGGCTGAACAGACGGAGATCCATCCCCAGCATAATGATGTAATTAAGACTAAC